TTCAGAGCGTGGTCACAGAAGGCGTTCCCCTAGCGTTTTCCGACGCAGCTCGAGTTCCTGAAGAGGAACTTTCGGTTACAGATGCCACTGTAAAAACCCAATATTCACAGTTATTCCTGGACAATTTTTCATTAGTAAATAATAAAAGTTAATGAAGTTAATAAAATAAATAATAAATAAATAATACACACACACACACACACACACACACATACACTTCCAGTCAAAAGTTTGGGATCAGAACGATTTTTAATGTTTTTTACAGGAGTTTCTTATGCTCATCAAGGCTACTTTTGACCGGTAGTGTGTGTGTGTATATATATATATATATATATATAGTGCTATTCTATATGTAATTTCATTTTTTTTTTGTGAGGGGGACTTCACCACTTACCACAAATCCAGGCCGACAGAAGCAGGTGTAGCCATGGCCAGGCTCATTCTGGATGCACATTCCCTGGTTGCATGGTTGCAGCAAGCACTCATTAATGTCATATTCACAGTGAAGGCCTGTCCAACCTGCCAGGAACAAAAACCCAGAGTGCCACAGTGAGCCCACCCCGTAACCAACAACATCCCACCTCTCCCTGAATATATTTTAATACTCTATGAGGCTTGTGTCTGTTTCAGTAGCCTGCAAGAGTAAATTATTCCCCGGAGGAACCTAAGTGATTTTTGTATTGTGAAATCAAGATGCATGAAGCCGAGACTTTTCATAAACCTTTATCTCTCTTGTGTTCTTCAGACATAAGACTGTCAAGAAGGTAAAAAAAAAAAAAAAACATTGACAGAAAATATTCATAAACATGTACTGCATTTCCTAAACAGGGTTCCCACACTGAACCTCCAAGACACTTTCATGACTGTCCCAATCATTCATGATAACTGGATAGGGATCAGTTTTTTTTATTAATCTGTCTGCAATAACAGAAGACCAGATGAATATGTGCAATAAAGTAATTTTAATTAAACCATACTGTTAATAAAACTATAAGGATACATTTGCACCAATTAGGAATATACACATCATAAAAAAAACTGGGTCCAAAAAAATTAACTTTTTTTAAATGTAAATACATTTTGTAATTTATTCTTGTGATGGCAAAGCTGAATTTCCAACATCATTACTCCAGTCTTCAGTGTCACATGATCCTTCAGAAATCATTCTAATATGCTGATTTGCTGCTCAAGTAACATGTATTCTGATCATAAATGCTGAAAATGGTTGTGCTGCTTAATATTTTTGGGGAAACTGTGATACATATTTTCAGGATTCTTTGATGAACAGAAATGATTTAAGGATCAATTTAAGGTGCTAAGTAAATAAGTTACAAAACAATTTTACTGATCCCAAACTTCTGAATAGTATGTTTTTTTTTTCTCAAATCCAATCAAAATAACATGAATGTACAAGTTAAATGCTAGTCAGAATGTGTATATAGTGTAAAACGTGTAAAAAATAACGAATAACTAAAGCTGACGTTTTTAAATTAACACTTTTAATATTTGCTCAAATTAACTGTTTTCAATTAGATTTCCCAAACACTTTCCATCTGCCATTGGTCAGGACAGACAGATAGTTCCGCCCTCAAACTCACACCATTGGCTGAGTCAGTGTTGCTGTGTCAGGTTGTTCGGCATACACAAATAGCATCGTTTTGATAGTTTGCAATGTTTGCATTGTCTCTGCATATTAAACTAGGAAGAAAGTATTTCAACATGGAGAAAATGCACATCATCAAGATGTTACTTACTGTCATTTACTGTGTTTCACGTTTGCAGTTAGTTCAGAATCCAGTGGCTCAGCTTCTTTATGGAAAGTGCAAATATGAGAGTATCACACCAGTCTTGATTTCACTACATTGACTGCCGGTCAAATATAGAATTTATTTAAAAATTCTACTGTTTGTTTTTAAATCTCTTCAAAATCAGGCAACACAGTACTTATCTGATCTGTTACACCCTTACACTCTGTCAAGGTCACTCAGATCTGCCGATTCTGGACTGTTGCAAGTTCCCAGGACAAGACTAAAAAACGGAGGTGATTGTGCTTTTTCTGTTATCGGTCCTAAACTATGGAATAGTCTCCCATTTCAGATCAGAACTGTCCCGACCTTATCTATTTTTAAGTTCACTCTCAAGACTTTAATAATATTTATTGATTTGTTGTTTTATGATTTTACTTTCATGAATATCACCCATTTTACAGCTTGTGTTTTATTGTTTGTAATCTTGCATTCTGTGTTCTTAACATTTTCTTCTGTATATTTTTTGTACAGAACTTTGGTCAACTTCAGTTGTTTTTTAAATTGTGCTATATAAATAAACATTGTATTGTATTAACCCTGTCTATAAAGCACAAATGCCATATTGAGTGAAAGCCTAATACAGTACATACAATATAATGCCAATAAGAGGTAAACCACTTTCGCATGGCATATATAGCACTTTATTGTATATTTTCTATAAAATATAAAATAGCCTCACCTGGTCGACAATGACATTGGTAGCCATTGATGAGGTCTTGGCAGATGGCCCCATGAAAGCAGGGCTCAGAGCAGCATTCATTCATCTCTACCTCACAGAAATCTCCAACAAAACCTGGCAGGCAGCTGAATAAAAACATTCCTCTTTTAAACATGGCACATAGAATCAGATGTTTTTATTCTCTAAAAAGCATGTCTCTTTAAAAGGTTGAACAGAATGCTACGACTTTCTGAGCCACAGCCTTGAGCCCATCAAAAAAGCAAATATTCAAAAGGAAAAAAAATATATAATTAATGACAGACATATGGTCAGCTAAGCTCGTGAAAACCCTGCCACACAGATGGTGAGCAAACTGAGAAATGTCTCATTAACAGAGTTTGTTGGCATGTAGCAACATTTCTAAATATCTCCTGGAATTTTTTAAGATTGATTCAATTATCTGCACCTTTAAAAGTCAAGTTCTGGAAAATGACACTCAGTTGACATATGGTGATTTCTGTCAGGACCACTATCATCAAAGATGATTGACAATTAGTATACGCTTGATTGTATGTGCATTCAGTGCATTCTGTAGTCATGGTGATTACACTACGCAGACTGATGACTGATGATTACGAACAGATATTTTGGTATACTACAGAGCTTTGAGCGGTTCACTAGCAGTTCAAATACACAGACATATTTTAAAGGGTAGAAATGACAAATGTAGCTTTTTACAGTGCTTAAAAATATTAAAAACGCTTCGACATAAATTATAAATCAACTAACATGGAAAGGTATAATTAAAAACAAACAGGCAAATGTTTGCTCTGTCTCCACACTGGTAAAAGAGATTTCAGCTAACAAACAAAGAATAACATCTGTAAGAATAGCAATAGATATCAGGTCAAGATGAACGACACTGACAGATGTCTTCCAAAGTGTCCAGAGGTGTTCTGAAGAAACACTTCTTAAAATAGATTCTGTATAGACTAGTCAGCGGGTTCACCTAAAGAAAGAAATAATTAACCTGAATTTGTGAACAAAGATCTCACCAGAAACCATGCAAATTTATACAGCTAAAACAATATTTTGATACACATTAAATATATGTTGGTCTTCTGTATTATCGTTCTATTTATCATTATTTTAAAATACAAAATTCTTTGTATGCGCAAGTGTACCTAGGAAAAAAGTTGTTTTAAACACAAAGGGTGGTCACACCAAATATTGATTTGATTTAGTTAATAGAAGTTAATTTTTTCTTTCTTTTTGTGGCAGCTTTAATGGCTTTCATATCAGCCTTCAATCTGTTCTGAATCTTTAACATTATGCAAAATGACGGAGGCTGATTTAAAATTGAGCTCCAATTTTTGGTCTTTAAAATGTGTGCTTTTGTCCATTACCAAATGAGACAGGCTTTAATACAATCGGTCTGCGAGTCATTAGTCTGCAAGAGATTTCAAATGAGAGTAAACACAAAGTGGGGCGTTTGTTTTCCATTTGAGAAAATCAATCCAATGAGGCCTCATTTGGACAGACAATGCTTTCTCATTCCACAGCTGTCTTTCTGTCAGTGCATCTGTCCACCTGACACGATGAGAATTGCAAATAGCATTATCTCCCGGGCTAATCACAGACTCAAGACAGGGGGCTTATACACATTAGAATATTGTCTTAGGAGGAAGAGATAATGAGATATATTATGTGTTGGATGGGCCCTTTTATGCAGAATGTGCACCACAACCAATTTTAGCCCTTTAGTTCAGCGATAATGTTGTAGCAGCTGCTGCGTAATCATCCACTCTGGCAGACCTTCAGAAAGAACCAAGAGAAACAGTGGAAATGTATCTGGATTGTACAGCAAGTTGTAACTAATTACAAGTTATATATTTAAAAAATAAAGTACATGCAAGTTTGTTTAGCCTGCTCTTACTTGTTAATGGTTTATTGTTTGTGAACAAATACACAAATATATATATTTTTTTAATATTTGTGATTCTGTTTGTTTATAGTTACTGTTGAGAAGGGTTTCTGCAGGTTTGACTAAGGTAAATTTAAGACTTTTTAAAAACCTTTTAAAGACTAATACATAAAACTTAAGGAATAAATTGTCAAATTTTGTTCTTAATTTAAATGTCTAAAAACTTGAATACATATGCTCCTTCCCTACCACTAGAATATGGGGAAAAAAAAACAAAAAAAAAACTTTACTTCTGATCACACTGCAAAAAATCGTAACAACTTAAAACTTAATTTTTAAAAATTTTTCATTCCCCATGTCCCCATTTTATGCCCCCAAAACCCCAAAAACAAAATACTGAGCTAGTCATTTTTTTTTTTGCAATGCATGCAGTATTTAATGCCATGACTTAAAGGGGTCATATGATGCATTATTTTGTGTATTTGGTGTAACAGAATATGTTGACATGCTTTAATGTTCAAAAACACATTATTTTTCAAATACTGTACATTATTGTAGGTCCTCTATGCCTTGCCTCTCTCAAACACGTTGTTTTCAGCAAAGCCCCCTCCTTTGACAAGCGCAGTCTGCTCTGATTGGCCAGCTGACCCAGTGCATTGTGATTGGCCGAACACCACAAGCACGTGTCAGAAATGTAACTCCCTTTACCATAATCGCGAGCGTCAGCTTGCAAAGTAAATATCAAGACAGTTAATAATGTCGTTAGTTATACCATCAGTTCAAGCCCGAAAGGGCAACAGAGTCGCATGACAGACACAGTGATGATGCAGTACAAAAGCCGCGGTGAAGAGCTGATGTGCTATGATTTCTGACAGGCAGTTCACTCTCCTGTGATGTGACCCTGTTCCCC